CTGAAAATGCTGGCCGTCCTCACCCAGGGACAATACATGAATTCATAGTGTCAGCCATCGGTGGTGGGTAATAGAAATTAGTTATTCGTGGAAACTTTTATTTACTTTTTGGCCATTTACTTGAGCACTGGTAATGTACTTATAAACTTTGAATAATCAGGCTATGGGAAGGCAGCCTCAACACCATTTAGTTAAATAGATGGACATTATCGAGAATCCTTTGAAAGGAAACTTTGCTGTGAGCTTTATTTTACTTCATTGGTCAAGGCTTTTTAGAAATTACATGTGGGTTGTTTTTTTTTTTTTTCCCAGTGTCAGCCATCGGTGGTGGGTAATAGAAATTAGTTATTCGTGGAAACTTTTATTTACTTTTTGGCCATTTACTTGAGCACTGGTAATGTACTTATAAACTTTGAATAATCAGGCTATGGGAAGGCAGCCTCAACACCCATTTAGTTAAATAGATGGACATTAATGAATCCTTTGAAAGGAAACTTTGCTGTGAGCTTTATTTTAACTTCATTGGTCAAGGCTTTTTAGAAATTACATGTGGGTTGTTTTTTTTTTTTTCCCTGTCTTCATTAAGGTTATTTTGCTGTATGTGTATTTAAAATCAGTTTCCATGGTGACATCTGGTGGTGGTTTTGAAATCCTAGAGACTATGTTAGGAATGATAAGTATTTTTACTTAGTAGTTCCAGATTTCTGGCTACTTTCAAATTTTTCAGCTTATTAACAACTTTTTTGAAAATGCCCTCATTGGGTTCTTGAAGTTAGAAAGGCAGACATTATTACTTTTGCAGTGCTTCCTGATAACACTGCATATAACAAGTGTGTATGAACTTGTCTTCTGTGCGCAAAATGTACCTCATAGCATCTCTTCCTACTCTCACTGCCTGTGTACTACTCGCCTCGTGAGAGGAATGGTGTTCCTGCTGTCCTTCCCCTTGACTTTGATCCCCTTTGCATCCTTTTTGAATTCTGTGGAAGGCCTTACTCATCCTCAGGCTGCATATGATTATTGCTATCAGAAGGAAAAAGAGCAAAGAGAGGAGAGGAGCAGAGGCAGCTGAGAAAGAAGAAAGTGGAATGGAGAGATACTTGAAGACAGGAGGGAAACTCTAGGAGAGAGTTCATAGGTGGATGTTTTTATATGTGCCTCAAAAGATGAAGTATTGTTTTGAGTATGTGTTTAAGAAAAAAATACCTGTAAAGACTGTAGTTATTATTCCTTACTTTTTTCCAGGAAGAGAGAGTTCAAAAAAGTAATTATTGAAAGTTGGTTGGGAAATTGATGTCTGATTGGTAGACAATTAAAGGAAATACAGAAGTAGTTTTGAGAATGAACACAGCTATCTATTTCACACCCAGTGATGGCTAGGAGACTTCAGTTTAACTTCTGTTTTTATTTTTCCCTGGGTCAAAGGTTCTAATTAGAAGTCTTCATAATGGAAACTTGACAGTTTGTTTCTCTGTTGAATTAAAATTACTGCTGAAGTTAGAGAAGAAATCCATCTAGGGTATATATATGCTATTTGTGGTTTTAGGAAGGACTGGTAAAACGAGGAAAAGTGTAGGAATGGGGACTTACCGTGACTTACAGAATAAACAACTGCTTCTAGTCAGACTTCTGGATGGCTGGCATGTGGATCATCTCAGAAACCAGGACTCCTGAAAAGAGTGTTTGGACTCTGATGAGCCCCTGATTGAAGAGGCACACCAGTCTGGATTCCATGCACAGTCCGTGCGTTCACCAAACAGGAATAATTAACTCTGAGTTGCTAGTCGCTGTGATCCTGCTTTCCTCCCGTATTTGAGTAGAACCACTTTGTTGTCTCATTTTTAACCTTCAGAGATTAAAGGTTAAAAGAGATTACCTGGGACTCTTGTGTGCCTTTCTGGACTCGGCTAGGGAATCATATGCAAAAGAAGGTGGCTGCTGGCCCAGTTGCCCAGTTGATTGGGAGGCAGTGCCCAGCAGAAGGCTTCTACAGTATGGACACTCGGAGACCAGATTAGAACTAGAGCACAATGGAAAATAAATACCTGCTTTTATCTGTTATTGTAAACCTCCTAATAGAATTGCATCGTGTATGTCTTGTTTTTGCTGGTGAGGAAGTCACAGACGTGTAGTATATAAACGTGAGCTGTGGCACTCTGTGACCCTGGGAAAGTTCCTCGTCTCTGATTTTCATAATGAAATGGAGATACTAGCTCCATGTGTAGGCAGGTCAGAAACAGATTAATAAGGTGGTGCGTGTAAGAACCTTAGCCAGCACGCCTGGCCTGTGGTAAACATTGAGTGACTTGTTGCTAGTTATTGTTTTTAAATGTCCTTAACCACATGTAGAGGAACACAATTTTAAGAAATGGGAGCAGTACGAAGTATTTGAGGATTAGAACTAAAAAGCAGTGAGTAAAGTCACCATGTGTGAAATTTTCTAACACCTCACTTGTCAAAGGAATTGAATTGCATTTTAATGAAGAGGCAGAACACACGAGGACCGCGTGTGCGTGCGCGCGTGCGTGTGTGCGTGCGTCTGTGTGTGTGTACGTGTCCGTGTGCGTGCGCGCGTGTGTGCGTGCGTCTGTGTGTGTGTACGTGTCCGTGTGTGTGCGCGCGTGTGTGCGTGCGTCTGTGTGTGTGTACGTGTCCGTGTGCGTGCGCGCGTGTGTGCGTGCGTCTGTGTGTGTGTACGTGTCCGTGTGCGTGCGCGCGTGTGTGCGTGCGTCTGTGTGTGTGTCCGTGCGTGTGTGCGTGCGTGCGTCTGTGTGTGTGTGTGTGCGCGCATGTGCGTGTGTACACGCATTCCTTTTGTTAATATATAATCCTAGTAGCAAGAACATCCTGACTTTGTTTGTGACAGCTGATGGGCATGATGAACAAGAGAAATTAGGAAAGATGATTTTTTTCAGACTACAAACATTGTTTCATTAATTCAGAGAACTGATTAAGTATTCCGAGATTGTGTTTAGGTCAGAGAAAAATGGGAAACATTTGAGTTAATTTTAGATGCTTACCAACTAGATGAGCTAGCTTCTTTTTCTTTATTTCTGAGTCTTCATTCCATTCTTTTGCAAGTGTCAGATCCTTTTTGAGGGTTCAGTGAGACTAATCGAACAGTAATAAACAATTACTGTGCTTCAAGTGTCATAAACACTCAGCTTATTGTAGTTTATGTCACATTTAGTTATTTAGTTATATTTCTGCATTCACTATGATGAGTTTTTCTGATATTAACCTTAAATAAGCAAATACTTTAATAATCATAAATACAAGTATAACATACTGACTATAGCTAATAACTGTGTACTCTTGAAATTTGCTGACATTGGTTATTAAATGTCACCATGAAAAATGTGAGGTAATACATACAACAGTTAGCTTGACTGAGCTGTTCTACACGTATACATATATCAAAATGTGTGCAATTTTAATAAATTCAAAATACAGGGTTTTTTTTTTTTGTAAGACTGGGGTTTGAACTCAGGGGTTTGCACTTGCAAAGCATGCAGTCTATGCACACCTCTAGTCCATTTTTCCTCTTGTTATTTTGGAGACGAGAGTCTCATGAACTATTTACCCAGGCTGACCTCAAACTGTTATCTTCCCAATCTCAGCCTCCCAAGTGGCTGGGATTATAGGTGTGAACCATCAGTGCCTGGCCAAAATACAGGTTCTTTTTTTTTATTGAGATCAGTGCTGTTTAATAGCTAAACACAGACAAAATTAATATTTGTTATTTTTCTGGTAGTATTTGTATTGAATAGGAAAAGTTAGTGATTCTAGACTTGGGGTTTCTAAAGTCCAACCTAGACTATGGTGTTGAGCACTAAAAATATCATTAGTTCAGAATAAGAAAAAAAATGCAGTGATATATTTTGTGAGCCAAAGGGTAAGATTACACCATTGAACAAAAAAGTGGGATTTGCCTGTGAGAAATTGATAGAATGAGGTAGACACTCTAACCCTCTTCCTAGTAATCTCTTTCTTTTGGAGAAGGTGGTACTGGGACTTGAATTCAGTGATGGCTAGGCAGTTGCTCTACTACCTGAGCCATGTCCCTCCAGCTCTGACTCCATCTCTTACTAGGTGACTCAGTAAGAAATGGGTCCTACTTTGGGTCTCAGTTGAGGACTTCATATAGCAACTCCACTTAAAATATGTATGCATTAAAAAAAATTCATTGAATAAAGTGATTAAAACACATGTAAGAAATTCAGTTCTCAGGACCTGAGCAATCCCTTAGTCTGGACTTTGCGAGTTTATATTTTGTTTTCTTAGCCACTTAAAAAAAAGCATAACCAAACTAAGATGTCTAGAGGGGAATAAAAGTGATTAAAACACATGTAAGAAATTCAGTTCTCAGGACCTGAGCAATCCCTTAGTCTGGACTTTGCGAGTTTATATTTTGTTTTCTTAGCCACTTAAAAAAAAGCATAACCAAACTAAGATGTCTAGAGGGGCATTGCTCTCAGCCTCTTTCCTTGGACAGTGCCAGTGGTCAAATGAATGTAGTGTGGGGATCAGGAAACACTAGACTGTGGGGCCATGGATCTGAGCCATGGCTCTGGTTTTATTTCCGGCTTCCTGATGAACCTCCAAGATAGTCAGCACATCTCAACCAACCATAAATTTCATCTTTGGAGAAGACCATTTCGGGGGCATTGTTTTGAGACTTCGTATTTTTTGAAGTGCTCATTATAGTGCCTGACCTAATTCTAATAATAAATACACATTTATGGTATGCATTATGTGCCACAAATTGCTTAAATTGTTATGCATTAGTTCACTTAATCAGCCTATAGGAAGATACTACCGTCATTCTATAGAAAAGGAAACTGAGGCATAGGCTAGATAACTTACTCAAGAACATGCAACTAGGAAGTGGCACATAATCCCTCAGTGGGTGAATTAGTTACCGTTAGGTTGACATGTTCTGAAAGCGAGACTTTGTTATTGTTGACGTGATACTTTATGTTTTTCTTCTTTCTCTCTAGGTATTATAGAGACTTCAGATCGACTGGACCGTGAATCAACCCCCCATTACTGGCTAACAGTCTATGCAACAGATCAGGGTGTCGTGCCTCTTTCATCATACATAGAGATCTACATAGAGGTTGAGGATGTCAATGACAATGCACCACAGACATCAGAACCCGTTTATTATCCAGAAGTAATGGAAAACTCACCCAAGGAGGTGTCTGTGGTTCAAATTGAGGCATTTGATCCAGATTCTAGCTCTAATGATAAGCTCACATTCAAAATTACAAGCGGAAATCCACAAGGATTCTTTTCAATACATCCTAAAACAGGTATGTGTTAATACTATTATATGGGGAAAAATAAAAATTAGCATTTCTCTGTTGTATAATTGTCTTTGGTTTTGGTGAATTATTTTCCTTTTCAGTTGTTCAGTAAGCCTTTAGTACAAACGTGGTTTCCTTTTTTTTGAGTTTGCTTTTGTAAAGCTATTTTATGGTTTTCCTTTCAATAAAGTTTCACTTTCAGGTTAAAAAGCAAATATTGTTATATCAGTAGTAGCTCTTAAATGAGCAATAAGTTTTAAAATTACAGCAAATTCTGCTACTAAGTATTTGAATTTTTATAACTTTTTTTGTAATGAATACTAGAAGTGCTTATTTTACAATTCACTACATTTTAAATATTGTTTTAAGTTAATCCCCATAGAGTAATGCTATAAGTCTGTAAGCATAAGAGGGTCAGGATTAAGCAGCTTTTCAAATTGGAAGTGGTTAATGTCTTGAATGGATATCCCAAGCCTTTTCCTTCCTTTTTCCCTCTCATCTGTAACACCCTACTTCTCAGAAAATAGATCCAGGGCCGACCCCAAATCCTTTTCCAGAATCCTTATACCCTTGACAATGTATCTTATTTTTCTTACTTCTTAGGTACCTTTTGTGCTGTTTCACAAAAGGATGTTTAAAGGTAGATTTGGGTAGTAAAAACTTAGTTCTCATTTGTGCAGGGAAACTTCACATGGGCAGTGCAGAGCATTTGGTTTTATTAATCAGTTAAAATAATAACCACTATATGAGGTTGAGAGGACAGTTTATTTCTAGGAAAATAAATCTGCTAATCCCATTGATTACTGTCCTTAAAGACATTGTGCTGTTAGGCAACACTTGCTGGTAGTCTAGTTAACAGAAGATTCTGAAGCATGAGATTTATTTAGTAATTCATATACCTTTATGTTGTCTTTGCTTCTTATGTTTTTCCTTATTCTTGGGTAATTAACCTTTTCAGTTACTGTGTTGTATGTTTGATAGCTTAGGGAAATAGTACACAAAAATCCTGTGCTTCCTAGCTGTTCTTTGTTATCACGTTTTTAAAATCCCATTCCTATTTCCTAATTTCTTCTATTGAAGTTAAAAGGAAGCAATTCCTAAGGTAGAAAGAAGCCCAAGTTCTATTTAGAGAATGCCCATAGAAAGATCGATACCTCATAGAGATCATGGAAGAATATTTTGTCTTTTAAGAAATACATTTAAGGACTGGGGATATGACTCAATGAGAGCATTTGCCTAGTAGGTGTGAGGCCATGGGTTCAATCCCTAGCTCTGCCTAAAAAATAAAATAAAATAAATAAATAAATAAATACCTTAAAAGTATATTTACAATGTTAATTTGTAAAGCTCTTGTCAGCATATTTCAAGTTGGCATTTAAAAAGACTAATTTCTTGGTTGTTGAAAGTAAAGGTAAGTTCAAGATTTATTTTGAATGCTTTCTCATATACTTTTTACTTTCAGACAGTTATACTTTAGCCCTTTGGGCACATTCTAATGTTTCACTGACAGAGTTTGAATTCTTTGAAAACTAGTAATTAAAACTAATTGATCCTTACAAAAATTTAATTATATAGGAGAGAAATTTACAAGGTCTAAGAGTTTTCAAGACCATTATGGATAGAGTGGAAAGGACTCTAAGCCCATGAGAAAGGGCTGGAGTCAAGATAAGAATATGTTAAACTTGGAACAGGCTCTACAAATGATTAATAAAAGGCTTGGTTTAGTGGTGTGGTCATATACTGTTTTTACTGCACAGGTGGTAATTAAGGTCTACCTTCTTTTTTGTGGAATATGGTGAAAGAGATCTGAGAGCCAGAAATGAGAAGGCATTGTCATAGAAAAGAAGAAATTTAGAAGTTTATAAGAATTTTGGAATCAGATAACATGCCTGAGAAGGAGGAGGGGTGGTCATAGCCTTGAGAGGGAGGAAAAAAAGTCTAGAAGTAAAAGCCTTGAGGTGGTAATTCAAGAATGTGCAACTAACTGTATTTTAAATTGGTCAACGAATTAGACTTAAAAACTGTTTCCATCTTTCTTATGTCTTCAGTCTTTAGATTAAGTACCCCGTGTGTCTTTCTTTCTGTCTGTCTGAGCAAATACTGTGCATAATTTATAGAGAAAGAAGCTTAAGGAAATTATGTGGATTAGCACTCTGAAATAGTGATATCACTACCATGGTGTTGTATCTTAAGAGAATTCTGATTGATAAGGCATTGCCATTCCCTTTTAAATCTCTCCATTTTGACAAGCTTAAGAAACATGTCTATGGAGACTTCCATACGCTTTCTTTTCTTCTGCAAGAATAAATCTCCTCCAGGAGTTCACAGTCAGCTCCCATCCCCTGGGTGAGAAGCACATGCATCCCGCTGGGAGGATAGCAGGAGAAAATACATCAGTTTGCTTTTTTATTACTTGAAGGCAAATAATAGTGGAAAATAACTACAGTTAGTACACAGGAGTATTTGTCGTGAAGTACATTACAAACTATAGTTTATAGTTGGTAAGGAGCATTCCATAAATCATCTAGTTTATAAAGATCAAAAATAACCATTATCTTAGCAAAGGCTTTATTAAAGAATATAGTAAATATGGCCTCATGAGGTTTTTCCCTAGATGATTCCATACCCCACACCTCGGCATAAAATGTAAGTGTGATCTCCTGGGTCTGACGTGTAGATGGTCATCTTCCTATTTTTAGTAGGTAGTCAGTAAGATGGCAGTTAGGTGATGGGAGCTGATGAAAGATAGTCTGGTAGAAGGAAGTTCTTGTGATTTACTGGCCCATAACACCACCTGGAACCCTTAATCATCTTACTTAATAATTAAAGATTGAGCGAGAAAGTCAGTGGGCTGGAAACCAAGAGATCTGGGCGGAAGCTAGGCTTTCCCTCTGGGGTCTTGGAGGAAACAGGCCACCTGATCCTTACATTTTGTGATGAGTGATGAATGTTGTATATTCCTGCTAAGGGTTGTGGTTGTGGAAAAGGTACCCAGCCCCTTCCTCTTGCATATGTTACAGTTGTTCTTTTGAAATATTTGTGATGAAATATTTGTCTGTACATTGATAGATTTCTGCATTCCTTGGGTAAGCAAATTTGATAAAATAAAATGTATCCACTTCTTAATGTTAAAGATAAATTTGGGACCTTAGTGATTATGATATTCATATCAGTAGACTAGAGAAAATCTAAATTCCTCATTGTCATTCAAAGCATTTGTTTGCACATCAAGTGTTTACTGATCTTCTGTTGCAAATACAGTACCTTGAGAGATGCTTTGAAAGTGAAGGAGCAAAAGAAATGGGTGGGTGCATGGTAGTGTGGCACCAGCTGCCATGACATGTTTGGTAAAAGTAGGAACAGATTGACCCATGGGGAATATTAGGAAAATGAGGCTCCCTGTTAAATAGCTTTTAGCTATTGGGCTAATTTTGAAAGTTTGGAAAGGTAGATTGATGGAGAGGAGCTAGAGAGTGTTTGTCATGTGGGGGAAATTTGAAGGAGTGTTAAGTATTAGAGAGCAAGAGATAAAGTTAGATGAGTGTATGGGCGTATGGCTATACTTAAATACCAGAATAAGGGCTAAAGATAGTATTTACGTTACTTTTATGAATAACAACTTATTTTTAAGAGTCCATGGGCAGACTCTTCAAATGCTTTGTTTAAATTTAAATGATCTCATTAAAAGTTACTTTGGAAAGGAGGAAGGACATCTCAGTCTTTTTATCATTTGTAATATGTGACAAAACTTTTTTATGAATTGTGTTCAATAATTTGCTGAATTCTATCAGTGATAAGCTTGAAATTTCTAATTTTTTTTTTAAATCTATAGTCAAAGTTTTTGTGCTTCATTTGTGCCTGGTGCTGCCCTTCTACATCTCAGACAGTTCTTACTATGTTGTTTGGAAAGTAGGGTGATAATGGGTTTTCTTTTTTAGAAAATATAGGTAAAAAACTGAATCCATTTTCCTTTTCAGATTCCTATCTGTTGACAATGTAAGTTTATATAACATTTTTCTGTTTGGTCATGTCCTGTATCAGTTGGTAAATTTGCTTCTTTTAACATAAATTGTGCTTTTGATCAAGGCAGGAGAGAGACAAGAGCATAGATGTTACATTGTTTGGAGCCTGACTGCCCCAGCTCCTGCAATCAAAAGCAGCACAGCTTTGTGGTATGTCAAGGACAGAGAAGAAAGGGAGTTCCAAACAAAAGGGACTAGTGTGAGCTTTGCCGGTTTCATGATCCACAAGTGACCTCAGGAAACTGACACCACCTTTGCAAAGTGTCTTTCTAGTTAAAGTTATCAGTCCACACTTTGAGGAGTGATATGCAACTTACAATTGCCAGATAATTCTGAAGGTTACTTTTTATACATGTACATGCTTCACAGAGGACCACAGTCTTACTCTCTTATGGCTGTATTTGATATTTTCCAAGTTTTTGATACAAAAAACCTTCTTTTTAAAAAGTTCTGAGTGTAACTGATAAAATAAATTGCATATATTTAAAGTCTGCAATTTAATAAATGTTGACATTTGTCTACACTGGGAAATGATCACCACAATCAAGCAGTGAACATATGCATCACTCCAAAAAAGCGACCTCATGCTTCTTTGTATTTCCTCCCTCCCTGCCCCTATCTCTAGGCAACCATGATCTGCCTTCTCTCCATTAGTTGTATATTACTTCACATTCCCTAGAGTTTTATATGCACAGATTGATAGAGTACATACCTTTTTTTCTGTACGGTTTCTCACATTTATCGTATTTATTTTGAGGTTTATGCATGGTATCGTGTACATAATCAGCATTACATCCCAGAGCCAGGTTTTAGATACTAGGGATAGTCTCAGCATCCCAAGCTTGTTGAAATTATCCACATTAGTCAATTCTAAACCTTTTATGCTACCTTGTGCTGTCTTTTGTATGGAAACCACAGTAAAGGCTCTTGCCTATGCTTTCCCTCATTCTTTCTACCTCTTGACTTACCCTGAGCTTCCCCTTGTGACCCTGCAAGTAGCAAACTGACAATA